TTCGGAAAATAAACGCTTTTGTAAAAAATGCGTATAATTTATGCGGTGAAAATCACTACGTGATAACGTTATCGAGGTAGCGGACGTAGAAAGTTGGTAAATTACTGCATAATCATAATACCTAGCGCGAGTTTTTTGTGAATGATAGACTTCCTAATTGACGTGACCTTAGACAATAAGAATGGTCAATTAGTTTGAGGCGCGAGTAAAGATTTTATAAACTGTTTCAGATTATAAAATTGTAAGTAATAATGTACAAGTGTTTCGAGAAGTGAATGTTTATAAAGAATTACAATAATCGTGTCAAACCTCAATTTAGAAAAGGCTGCACTAGTAAAAATTTCCCTCGATTAGTTAATATGACCTTTTATATCAATCTCAAACATTAAAAATAAAACTGAAAAATGTGACGAAACTGGCAGAATTAAACGGGATGAAATATAAGTTAGACTGTTTGAATAATACTATTCAGTGCTAAGTGCACAATCAAACGATTAAAGAAATAATCCAAATTCTGGTATCGCAGTAATTATTTAACGGCAGAAAAAATACGGAATACATGCAAATGTGAATGTTATGTCCATGTGGAAGCTATTGAATCACAAACAGCTGTGATAAAAGTAAATGGGTTTTTAGTTAGCGATAATAGATTAATACCATAATAAAATCTGATAATTTAGCAAATCTAGAGAGAATAATAATAAAATATTAAGGTAAAGAGTGAAGAACATGGATCCGCAAACGTTAAAAAGTGTAAATAATTCAAATTAGTAGATCAACAATACTAACGAAACCATATTGTTCTGAAGCTATTTTCTTGTGGTATTGTAAATTAATTACTATTAAATTATCAAACAATTTACTGTTTGTATTTGAGAACGATTTCCGAAGTGGAAATTGAACGTCAATAAACGTATTTTTATCTTTAATTGTGGCTTATTCCCAGTTTAATAGTAATTAACGAACCATACTATATAAATTAAATAGAAATAAACTTGATATGCAAAATACAAAAGGAAATTGACTGCTATATTGGAGGATCAAAATACGAGAAGCATGATCATCATCATCTTGCTGCTACAGCCCTTAGAGGGGCTCGACCTTCTCAAGCTTTCTACACCATTCTGTTCTGTCCCTTGCTTGCATTTTCCAGTTGCCGACTCCGATCTTCTCGGCATCTTGTGTTACCCCGTCTATTCCACCTCAGCTTTGGTCTACCCGTCTTCTGCAGTTCAAAGTTATATCTACGCCTCCATATTCCGTTCTCACAGACCGCTCCGAATATCTTGCGTAGCACCTTTCTTTCAAATTCGATAGAGCGGTTTCATCTGTTTTAGTTAGCGTCCATGCCTCTGATCCATATGAGTTGGATCAGTGTTCTATACAGGCTTTATACGATTTTTTGAGACAGACGTTTGTTAGGTACTTTGATAGACCATGATAACACCTGTTTGCAATTATTATTCGCCTTTTTATTTCCACAGATGTGTTATTATTGGGGTTAACCGATGTCCCTAGATATATGAACTCTTTGACTGCTTCGAAGTTTTGGTCATTGATGATTAAATATGCGTTAACATTTTCAGCTCTTGTGTATGTGTTACTCCGCATGAATTGGGTTTTGTTTTGATTTATATGTAACCCCATTCGTGCTGCTGCTGCTACTAGCTCGGTTAGGATGTCCGCAGTTCTCGCCCTGGTTCTTGTTATAATGTCCACGTCGTCTACATATGCTAGAATTTGGACTTATCTATTAAATATTGTTCCCCTGCTATTTAAATGAGCGTCTTGTACAACTTTTTCTAAGGCGACATTAAAAAGCTGACACGCCAGCGCATCTTCTGCTAACCCCTATGTATTCAAATGGGGTTGACGGGTCGTTTTGAATTTTTACTGCTGATAGCATCTTCGCCATTGTCACTTTTATCAAATATATGAGTTTTTTTTTTGGAATCCCTAACTCATTCATAGTGTTGTAAAGACTTGGTCTTAAGACACTGTCATATGACGCTTTAAAATCGACAAAAATATGATACATATCTATGTTAAACTCTTGTTAAACGTGTAAAAGTCTGGTTATTGGTTGAACGTTCACGCCTGAATATCCTGCCTGATATTCTCCTAGAAACGTCTCGATATTTGGTTTCCCTTTTTGTGTAATGGGCAAATTAAGCCTAAGCTCCATTCTTCAGCTCCTCAGACCAAATCTTACAAACAATTTCTCGCATCACCTTGGTGAGCTGCTCCACCGTGCTTAAATAACTCTACTGGTATGCCATCGCTGCCTGGGGATTTGTGGTTCCTTAGGTTTTCTATAGATATTTTCACTTCATCTACCGGGAGGGGTTCCACGAGTTCCTCATTTCGGTATTTTTAGCTATATATTGTTAGTAGGTTACCCTCCCAGCAACTATTGAAAGTGCTCTACTCATCGTAACAGGATGTCCTCTTTGTTGGTAAGTAAGTTACCTTCCTTATCATTACAATAGTTGATTCTCGGTTTGAATTCTTTTCTAATAGTATTTATTTGATGATAGAACTTTCTTGTTTCTCCGTGATTCATATAACTTTCGAGCCGTTCTAATATGTCAATTTCCGAGTCTCATTTCTTTTTTCGGTGTATGCTTTTTTCCTCTCTTCCTATCTACCATACCGTTAAGTAAAGCTCGTAGTATAAGTCGAGCTCATTGTGGTTTATAAGTTACTCACGTTCCCACCTTACCAAAAGTATCCAAATGAAGCCAAGCGGAACAACAATTAATGGTCTGTTTTTTGGCTATTTAAAGTTAGGGATAGAGAGAAAGAAAATTTACGTTGACGACCTTTATTTAGGTAAAAATGATATCCCACCAATAGACCAAGAGATAGAAAAAAACACATCATTATCAAGAAAATCGCATACGATGTGAAATTTGATGATTACTTATTTTGGGTCTGCAAAATCATGTTTTTGAATAAGCTGTACATAGGCAAAACTGCTGTTTGGAACTGGAAACAGTGCTCCAAAGAAAACTTTGTTAAGAAAACGATTTTAAGAAAAATCAACTAATCCGCTACCGAAATAGCCGCAAAAAAAGGTTCGAAATAATCGACTTTAAAAATCAGGTTGATTTCTTAAAAACAATACCTTAATAGTATACCTAAAATGAAGTCACATTACTGTCGTAAAACTCGTAAGGACCAGTCAAAATATTATCTCTGATCCGAAATGGACATCAAAAAGTCGCCTTATGCTTATTAGGTTTCAGACTGTTGTTGTCCACAAACACGTATTGCCTGTATCGGAATGTTTCGCAAAATTGAATAAACACGTTTACGGCAACAGGTCCTCTCATCGGCACCAAATTCCTAATGTATCATCACTGTATTACAAATCTAAAACTTAATGTGTATTCAATTTATAGATTAAGGAAGCATACTGGCTTTTTTCATGGAATCAGACAGAAAATGCTGAGTTTTTCTGATAAGAATTTGCTTCTTCGGTTTCATACTTTCTTATAGATAAAAGTTTCTACCAACTAATTTTGGAGACCAGCGGACAAAAAAATAGTAATTTACAGCGATGGGATTGCAACGCAAAATCGAAACGTTACCGGCCTTCAAATGCTTTTGATACATGTGGCGATAACCAGAAACACCGTTTTTTAAACAGAAGTACCTTGAAATAGGATCACACACAGATGGGAGGTAGATTATATGCATGTCCTCAATCTCGAAAATAAAACTTCAAAATAAAATTATTATTAATGTTACCGCTGAATACAATGGTATTTACATACTCGCAAAAATCCAAAATCATACAACGTTAATATTTAACACATTCGTTGTTAAAAGTCGTTTGATGACGCCAAATTTCATAGTCCATTCGTCCTGGAGAAATGAAGAGGCCAAGTTTTTCCTTTAAGGTTTAAAAGATCAGAAGCCCTCGCAATATACTGCAAATGGTTGACGTATACATTGCCGTTAACCAGCAGGAACTTCCATCAAGACCGACCTAAAACCTTCATCCCAGCTGAATATCATTTCTACTACAATGATTTACCTTGTAAATAAGTATTTTTTATAAACAATCTAATTTTTTATAACCATATTTTTATTTTTTCTTATTACTTTTGAATTTTGGTTCTTTACATTAATTACCAGCAATCTGATACCTTTCAAACCAGCAGAAGGATGTACGACAAGGCTGCATACTATCTCCAGACCTGTTCAATTTAATATGGAGAATACATAATGAGGAACGCACTCGATGGATGAGAGAGGCGCATCTCCATATGCAGGGAAAAAAGATCTCAAACTTAAGATTCGCAGACGATACAAACACTGATGCAACATCTGAAGAGGAGATGTCGAGACTGATAAAGTGAGAGTAGAAACCGAAAGTAACAAGTGTGGGCTCAAGATTAATAATCAGAAAACAAAAATCATGATTGTGGACCACGCGAATATCTCCAAACACCAGACGCCCTAAATCAATTCGAGAAAAGTAGACGGAGTTCACGTATCTAGGATCTTCTTAAGCAATGCAGCCTCCTGCCATACGGAAATTCGCGAAGAATAGGAATGGCCAAGAACGCGATGAGTCGACTGTCAAAAATATGGAAGGACCGCTCTTTGTCCAAAAAAACTCAAATACGATGGTACGGACACTCGTTTTTTCAATCTTTAGTTACGGGTGCCGAAACAGGCCAATAAAATCAGAGGATAGGAAAAGGATTGACGCATTCAAATGTGGTGCTGGAGACGAATGCTACGCGTCTCGTGGAACGAGCGAGCACAGATCCAATCAGTCAATTCTCGAAGAGCTAAACATTCAGGTCAGTACTCTCCTCTCAGTGTCTTGCAAATGTTTAAAGTTTTTTGGCCACATTGCGAGAAGGAGACAATGACAACTTTAGAAAGACTAATTGTGTGCGGAAACGTAGAAGGACGTAGAGGCTAGGCGAGACGCTCACTATCGATGGTCAGATCGAGTACAGAAAGCCACTGGAGACGTTTTCCGAGTCCATGAGAGCAGCCCAAAATCGCAAGAGATGGAGAGAATTGACAGCCCGCATTGTAGGGAATCACGATCCTCAGCAATGCGAGAAACGACAAGAGGAGGACACTTAATTTGTTTAAAAGATTTTCAAAAACAGGCTAACTCCTTTTTTGTTTCTTCCTGCATATGTAAAAAATCTAACTCCTTTTATGGCGTAAAAAAACAGGTTTCTAGGTCAAATAAAGATTTTTGGATCAATTATTATTAATTTTCAAGCATTAAAAGAATTTGATCAAGATGCAACAATCAACCATAGGTATAATTATTAATGATCTCAGCCAGTTTTAGGTTCATACTGAAAAAATTGAGTAAATTGGAATTGACTTTTTTGCAAATTAAGCCATTGATTATAGCCTATTTCGATAAACACGAATTGGAGACTGCATTACTTAAAGCAACTCCTAGAATAAAGAGAAAGAGTATTCTACATTATCCTCCTATATGTATGTACGTTAATAGGGCGAAACATGAAATTGAAGTTAGAAGAATTTATAAAGCCAGTGTAAGACCAATAATGAACATGCCTCAAAAAACAAGACCTGACACAGCCAAAACGTAAAGTGACTACAGGAAACGGCAGAGATGAGAGAAAACTGAGAAGAAATTACAGGAAATACGCTAAGAGATCAAAAGAGAACTGAAGACATTAAAGAAAATGTAATGTACAGTGTATAAATGAATGGACACAAAATATAGAAAAAGAATGGAATAACCACATAAGCAGAATGGAAAAGACCCATATCGTCAAAATATCAAAAGATCACTAAGTCACCAATCTACAAAAGAAGTATGGGACGATCGCGCAAAATTGGGAGTGACAACGTTCCATAGAGGTATTAATATGCCAATGAACAAACAGAATTACTTATAAAGAGGAAAAAAAGAAATAAAAAGAATGTGTTAACGTTCAAGAGGAATATATTAATGTGAAAGCAGACTTGATAGAAAAAGCACTAAAGTCTTTTGAAAAACAATGAGGCATCAGGACGTGAATGTATAGCGGCAGAATTATTAAAAAAATGGACGTCCTATCTAAAAGAATTATTTACGAGATATATAATTGGAAAAAGAAATCCTAAAAAGTTCGAAAGAATCATGGATTACACCCATCTACGAAAAAAGACTGAGGTGGAAGATACAGATGCATCAAAGTGATCAGTACCTTTAGTCTACTATCTAAAAATCTTGAAAAATGTGTCCGAAGAAGAGTATGAACCGTTTCAAATAAAACAACATGCAGGATTCCGAGCTGGATAGGTCATGTCTCGATAATATTTTTACTATAACTCAACTGACTGAAAAAAAAGTATGAAGGAACCAAATGATCTATCTCTTACTTGTTGATCTAACAAGAGCATACGATACAGTACCAGTAAAAAAAACTATATTGCTCTGAAACTTCTTTAACAAATAACACAATTATTGCAGCAGTAGATCAACTTTTCAAAGGTTGGCTTCATAAAAAAATTAATAGTGATAAAAATACCCTCATCTAAAAATTCCTTGTACCTAAAGGATTGAGAGTACAAATGTTTGTGACCTCTGTACCTATTTAAAATATATCTAACGAACGTCCTGAAAAGATGGACCAGATCCTACTTTGAAATGGGCGTACAATTGAATGAGAAGACGTTGTACACTGTTAATTTCGCTGGTAATCAAGTGGTTATAACGGAGAACAAATATGACCTAGAATTTAGGGCTAAAAGGTTAATTAAAAAATATGAAGAATTGGCTGTATACATGAATTGGTTAAAAATACAATACTTGTTGGCTTGCATTGGAAGATAGTAAGAGGGAAAAAAAACTATCGTACTCTATGGATGCGGAGCACAACAGCTAAACAAATCCCTAGGACGTCGCTTATTGTTCTTAGAAATAGACTTCTGGCGAAGATCTCCCATAAAATCAAGTCTGGAAAAAATATCTACGACAAAGTATGATAAACTTAAAAACTATTATTAAAGAAATTGCAAGCGGACAACACTTGTTGTAATTAATCAGCAGGAGGAGTTTTGCCAAGAACGTCTCAATTGATATCCATTTTTATTTATTTCATATTTCCAAGGCTTGATATATTCTGGATTTTTTTATTTTTGATGAGATGTAGTTCATAAAAAAACCGGAAAAGTAATAATAATTTAACAGATTTTATACACCCGCAACGTCTCTATAACTGAACGACGTTTTTCTTACATGCTATAAAGACGGTAGGTACCTCCAGGACTTACCTAGGTAGGATGTTGAGTCTACTGAAGCGCCTCACGACACGAATCATATTTCTTGTAGCCATTTTTACCAAAAAAGATCACTTTTCAAACACAGTTCGTCAATTGCACTTGAAGGTTCTTATTTTACAGTTTTGACTTTTGTTAAAACACACTTTTTGATAATGGTAGCTGCAGGCGCTCGTCCACTTGTATGTCATCACAACCGGCTAAACAAAAGATTAAAAAAATTTAGCACAAAAAAGGTTTTATATAATAATTGCTGATGATCGTTAAGATAAATAATCTCTTGATAGATGTCTGGTACTCGATTGACTGCGTATTTTCTCCCGACTCGTCGCTTTTCACCGGTTTAATTTTAGACCGGGAAATACGACGTGTCACCAACGGTGTTGTTTTGGCGTGATCGAGACTCGAATTGTTTTTGAACAATTTGAAAAATGTTTTAAACATGAACATAAACAACGCGTTTTGATAAAAACCACGATCTCGATTCCTGTTAAATATCGAAAAAGTCGTTTTTATCTAAGCTTTTGAAATGCTTTATCTCAAAAATTGTCATAATTATCAGTTTTGTTTCGAATGTAGCACACGTTAGATTTTTTATAATAGCGTTAGAGACTACATCAAGGACACTGAAATCATCTATGAGTTAGATAAGCTTAAAGGAAAGTAGACTACTTGGCGGCTATTTAATCAATATATCCAGATAGATATATTTATTAAATGCCTATCGTCTACTACAAAGCTTATGGAAGTTTATAAAAGTGGATTTATTTATAATAAATATCATCACCATCATTCGCCTTCCGCCTTTAAAGTTGAACCTAGAACTCACATAATTTCTTCCAGTTCTGTTGGTCTTAAGTTTCCTGCAACTAATTTCCAACTATTATTTTGACGTCGTTTATCCATCGTGCAGCTGGTCTACCTCTGCTTCTTCTGTCAGCTCGTGATCTCCATACTGTAAATTTTTGGGTCCACTGCCCGTCATTTATTCTAGCAACATGACCCGCCTAGTTCACTTCAGCCCTGCTGTGCGCTCTATGACATCTGTGGCAGCTGCATTTCTTCTTATCACTGTTTCAGTCTCTGGAGTCATTCTAAGAATATCGAGCATTAATTCGTCTTTGGCACTCTGAGTTGGTTGCTGTAGCGAAGAGAATACATCCATCGTTAGAAGGATAAAGAAGCAAGAGAATCAAAAAACAAACGTGTAAGAAATAGAAGTTAGAGTCGATATGATAATTTCAATGTTCATCGAAAGACAAAGGCAATCTTGCCATAACCAAAGAAGATAAAATGAAAGTATGGGAGGAATATGGAAAACTTTTCTACCACCTTAGAACAATACAAGAACCCATCATTGAAGAAAATTCAGGTCCCGAAATCCTACCAGAAGAAATAACGGCAGCTATCAGACAAATAAAGGATGGAAAGGCACCGGGACTTGATGAAATTCATGCAAGAACTGCTGAGGCTATTAGATGAAGAACAAATAAAAATAATAAATGAAATATTGAATGAAATATACAAGGCAGGAAAAATACCAGTGAGTGGCTCAAATCGGAGTTCGTACCATTGCCCAAAAAACCAAGCAAAGTTTGCGAGACTATAGGACCATAAGTCTAATGAGCAATCTGCTGAAGCTGTTTTTTAAACTCATCCACAAAAGAATTTAGCGGCAATGCGAGGAACAAATTGCGCCCAATCAGTTTGAATTTGTGAACGACATTGGTACGAGGGAACTTTTATTTACCGTGAACTGTTTAGGTACTGTTTCAGAAATATAGAGATGTCAGCTTGTGATGTTTTTGCATGCTGATTGACTACAAGAAGGCTTTCGATAGAGTCAGACATGAACAAATGATGGAAGTGCTGAAGAGAACAGGGATTAACGGAAGAGACCTAGAGATAATAGCTAACCTGTATTGGAATCAATCAGTGGTGCTCCGAATAGATGGGGAATATACAGATCAGGTCAAAATCTTAAGGGGAGTAAGATAGGGGTACATAATTTCACCACTGATATTCAATCTGTACTCGGAGCATATTTTTGAAGAGGCCTAAAAGATATTGATGAAGGCATCTCAATAAATGGAGTCAAGCTCAATAACCTGCGGTATGCAGATGATACAATAGTGTTTTTCAATACCACAGAAGGGCTACAAAACTTAATGAACAGAATAACGGAAACAAGTAGAACATATGGACTGAATACAAACACCAGCAAAACCAAGCTAATGATCATCAGCAAGGAAAACATAACTGGAGCAAATCTGTATTTGAACCAAATGAAAATTAAACGTGTCTCACAATACAACCACTTGGGAACTAATCAATGAGTCATGAGACAATACTCAAGAGATTAAATGTCGCATCAGAAAGACAAAAAGTGCATTTTTTACTATGAGCTCTGTGTTCAAGAGCCATGACCTCACAATACAAACAAAAATAAGGCACCTTAAATGTTACGTATACTCAGTGCTTCTGTACAGAGTAGAAACGTACACATTAAAGGCGGATGCTCTATTACAACTTAGGCTTTTGAGCTATGGTTATATAGAATGATCCTGAAGATACCATGGACAGACAAAGTCACCAATGAAGACACGGGGAATGAATACATCCGTGGATTTGGTGAAGGACTCAATGCTATTTTGAAGGGTGAAGAACTACTCCAATGCATTTTGCAAGGTGAAATTGAAGAAAAAATGGCCCCAGAACAAAGAAGAATAACCTAATAGCATGATATAAAAAGACCTCAACATAGCTATTCCGTTATAGCAACCAACGAAGTCATCAATGATCACCAACGTTCGGAACGGACAGGTACCCTAAGAAGAAGCCTGGGTTAAGAAAAGTGTTTCGCCGCCGCAAGACTCAAAGCACACATTGGTCTAACGTCTTCTTTTTTCAAATAATTTGGCATGCTGCTCATGAAAATGTTTGACAGGGCTCCATATACGGCACCATGCTAAACTGATGGGCTTTCTGCTTTGCAGGTAGAATGCGTCCCTAGCCATTTGGATTCCATCACTTAAGTATTTATTTTTATTAACTATATTTTGATTTTGATAAAATTATTTTTAGTTTACATTATACTTAGCATATGAAAATTGCTGTTGTGCTGTGCTGATGAAATATGAAAAACAAAGAAATATACAATTAAATAAATTTAATATTCTTTTAGAACCAAACACACTTTAGATAACCTCAATAGAAATAAAGACATATTAGCGATAGTTGTCAATCTATCAAATAGACATTTAAATGCAACGGAGAATTTAATACTGTCAAAAGGTCTAAACTTTGCTGTTACTCATCTAATTATTCCAAAATTAGACATAATATTATCATGGAAGAAAATATCTCAATGTTTACCAACCCACGAAAAAGAAGAATTCAGAGTATTATGTAAAATTGAATTGGAAAAATCTAATAAAATTAAATAAAACAGAAGCAAAGAGAACTAAAGGCTGTAAGGAACTTTAAAAAATGACAACTCGATAATTATCCTACCAGCAGACAAGGGAATGCAACTGTAATCTTCTTCTTCTTTTGAGTATCGTGCCCAAATTTTGGGCGTGGGTAGCTTCCATGACGATTTGCCGATCGTTCTCGATCTTGCGCGGCATGTAATAATTCATCTGCTGATAAGCCAGTCCATTGACGAAGGTTTCGGAGCCATAAGCAACTGTAATAATGAATAAAATTCAATATGAAAACAAAATTAAAAATCTAATACCAAACGGACCTTATACAAAATTAAACAAAGGATACAACGGATCCAATCAAGCTTTTGGAAACAGATATATAGGAACTTTATTCAATTTTAAAGATTATTTAACAAATTATCAAAGTATTTATAAAAATCTTGTGAATGCTACCATTTTTATTTAGGTGAAACCTCAAGATCATTAAATATTAGAATAAGTGAACATCAATCTTATATAAAAAATAGATAATTTGTAAAAGAAACAGATGGTAAAAAAGGGAAAAATCAAAGAAGCTGCTTTAAGTTTGCTAAATGAGACCAATTGTGTAGCAAATTCCTCCGGCCAAACGCAAGTAGGATCTGGTTTACCGATGTTAAAAGGGGAAGTTAATAAAAAAGAAAATACCACTACGTCAGTAACATATCGAGGATACCTCATTTTTTTTTTACAGTCTTTTCCCCCGCATTTTAGCGTTGAAGTCACCAATGTGATGGTAACATGTACTTTTGTATCGTTTTAGGTCAAAGTAATGTCATCGTCTAATTTCTTCTATTATTTTGAAGTCCGCATGATCACTTCTTTTGGGCATATACTTGTATCATTTTTAAATCATATCTTTCACTTAACTTTAAGGTTAAACAAGCTACTTCAGTGGAGAAATTTTTTTACTCGATTATTTTTTAGTTTTTTTGTGTACGAAGAGAAACCAACGCCACGTTGTTTCAGTTTCACTGCCCGCCTCAATAAAACAGGTGGACCCGATTTCAGGTTTTTCAGACTTCTCCTCTGTGTTTTACCTTACTCTCTACTTCTATTTTACTCGATTACATTACTGTTTTTTTTTTATTTGTGTACAAAGAAACCAACGTCTCCCGTTGTTTCAATTTCACTGCCGACTCAATTAACAGGTGCTCTGATTTCAGGTTTTTTCAGACTTTTTCCTCTAGTGTTTTTACCTTATCTCTACTCTAATTTTACTCGATTACATGGTTTTCTTATGACACCATCTTCACTAAACGTTGACACAACACTTATTTTTCACTCTCCTTCAACAGGGATACATCACATTGTTTTTTAAATCTGAACCTGACATATTTTTCCCGAGTGTGGAATTTGCTCTTAACAGAGAAAAACAAAGCACCAGGCTATGATTTTATTACCGCTTGAGGCATCTTCCGGTATGTGAAGTGAGAATATTACATCCAATTGTGTAATGAAAATCTGGCACATAGGCATCTGGCCTGAGGATTGGAGGAAAGACCATAACATACCTCTACATAAGTAAGGTCCAATAATATTTGTAACAAACTGTAGACTACTAGCTCTAATATCATATGCCAGTAAGGTTATCCTCTACATCCTGCAACGTCGTCGAGAATACTTCATTAGGCAAATACTACAGAACAAATTCTTTAATGTAAATAACATTCATAGAGAGAAGACAAAGAAAATCAGATCCCGATATTTATATGTTTTGTGAATTTTTAAAGGACTTTAATTAATGTTAGATGGGGCAAACTATGGAACATACTAACGACAATGGTTGTACCTAAACTTGACTCACCTTATTAGAGAGGAGAGAGAGAGAGAGAGGAGAGGAGAGAGTGGAGAGGGAGAGAGAGAAGAGGGGTGAGAAGAGAGAGAGAAGAGAAGTTTATTGATTTTTAAAATGAGAGTTACATTTATAAACACAACATGGTATAGGACAAACAAGGTACAAGATATGTTAAAATACTAATTATTAAAATTTCCATAATTAAAA